AACACGAAGCGAGAGTCAAGCAAGCGTATCACCTATTATAATTGGGAGGTCTCAACCCTCGCCACTGAACAGCTCGCCGCGTTGGAAGGTCTGGATGCCGATTGCGACTGCTGATTGCAGATCGTCCTCAACTACGGCAAGGACATGCGCACGTTGCAGGCAAGGTCATCCGATATTCCGGAAGACCGCGGACGTATCGGCTACGAGGAACCTCCTCGTCAGAAAGAGACTACCATAAAGGTAAACGAACTCCTGAAACATCTTAATCACCTTGACCTGTGTCTGAAGAGCAGCGACGAAGCATACCGCCATCCTTTCCAATGTAACTTTTCGCTTGCCAGCAGATCCGAGTTCGTAGCAATGCCTCTGCTGCCTATCGTGTTGAGAAAAGTGCCGATCGAGTAGAGCGCCTTAAGGAAAGAGCGCGACAGAATCGACAGGATCGACAGGCAGGTTGGTCAGGCTCTTCCTGGCAGCAACAGGACAATGGTCCTCAGGCGCCTCCAGCTCATGGTGGCAGTCCAGTTCCTCCTGGAACGCCGGCTCCTGTTGGAATGCCGGGTACAGAGGCTACCGAAATTGGTAGATAAACTCTGAACAGTCGATATTCCGGCTAGTAAACTGAAGGTGAACTGCACGAGAGCTAAATGATTGCGTGAACAAAATGACCCAGATTTAGAGAAACAAAGGCCTTACAGAATTTGATTTTAGATTTAACGACTTGAAATTGACTTGAGAAAGTTTCCGATATTCCGGAACTTTCGATGCAACAGAAATGCCTTTCGTAGATTTGTATAGAGTATCTGACGCAACCTAGATGAGCCAGAATGGCATCTACGGTCTAGTTCCAGAACTTTTGTAATTCATTGGCATTCTTTTGCGCTTGCAAGCTTTTGTACTTTTAGCAATCGTAAGCTTCGGCGCGAAGAAAATTTGTGTCTGTTTTGTGTTTGTAGTGCCCTAGGTCCCCTAGGCGTCATGTGTAGCGCCTGTTCTTTGTATATAGACTTGTATGTAGTTCTTCAGTCCGCTATCGACCTAATTCACTTGGCTCAAGACTGTTGAAGCCCAATACCTGCGTCCGCAGCCATAGAAAAGGTGTGCATCGCTGCCGCTCGCACACCGTCGACCTTCGTGACCTCACTGGGTGTATATTCGATCAGGTCCAGTAAAGCTACTGGCACTTCTGGGGGAACTTACCCCTCACCCCCCCCCAACCCTCCCCGCGCCACGAAATCTGCACTTCATCTCCGACACCCGCGCCTGCCACGAAATCAATATTTTAAGGTGAACTCCCCGGCGCAAAACTTTCTAACCAAGCAAACATGCCTCCTGCGCTAGTTCTCTTTCTCTTTGCTGTTTCTCTGCTTTTTCTTTGTTTCTTTCTTTCTGTCTTTCTTTCTTTTTCGCAGCTGTTCTCCTTTATCTTTTTGCTTTTGCTTTTCCTTTTGTTTGCTTTGCAGAGACGAAACCAAACAAGGAAGCAAGCAAGCAAGGAAGCAAGCAAGCAAGCAAGCACGAGCTGCTCACCTTTGGATCTGGTGTGCTGCTGGGGGGGGGCGCTGCGCCCCTCCAACCCCTCCCGCGCCACGAAATCTGCACATCATCCCCGACACCCGCGCCTGCCACGAAATCAATATTTTAAGGTGAACTCCCCGGCGCAAAAATTTTCTAACCAAGCAAATATGCCCCCTCTATCTATCTCTCTATCTATCTATCTATCTATGTATGTATCTATCGATCCATTGATCTTTCTATCTTTCTATCTGTCTATCTGCAGTCAACATCCACAAAGTATTACACCTGCCACGAAATCTGCACTTCAAGGTCCACAAAGTCTTGCGCCTGCCACCAAATCTGCACTCCAAGGCCCACAAAGTCCTGCACTGCCACCAACTCTACACTTCCACATCAAAAACTCCTGCGCCTGCCACGAAATCTGCACTCCAAGGCCCACAAAGTCCTGCACCTGCCACCAACTCTGCACTTCCACATCCACAAAGTCCTGCGCCTGCCGCGAAATCTGCACTTCAAGGTCCACAAAGTCCTGCGCCTGCCACGAAATCTGCGCTCCAAGGGCCACAAAGTACTACACCTGCCACGAAATCTGCACTTCAAGGTCCACAGAAAGTCCTGCGCCCGCCACAAAATCTGCACTCCAAGGCCCATAAAGTCCTGCGCCTGCCACTGGCCACCAACTCTGCACTTCAACATCCACAAAGTCCTGCACCTGCCACGAAATGTGCATTGCAAGGTCCACAAAGTACTGCGCCTGCCACGAAACACTATGACTACCACTACGATACTGCTGCTATTATAGTACTGTTGCTACCCTCACTGCTACTGCAATTTGGAATACTTTTTTTTGAGTCAGTTTTTTTTCCCGAATGCGTAGCGAAGGGTTCTCGTTTAACTCTTGGGGGTCTGGGGGTGGAGCCTTGTTCGTGACCCGTTGGTTCTAAGTTCGCAACCGTTCGCAACCGTTCGCAACCGTTCGCAACCGTTCGCGGTAGAGCGCTAAGGCGCTGCCATTGGGGGAAGCTTTTGCAAGTGACTATTCATGGATGTGTCACGTGTCAGTTTGCGCCGCTATTCCATTGTGATTTGCATGAAAATGACATGTCGCGCAAGGAACGTGATGCGTTTCGCTGCGCAGGCGCAGCGTTTTGTGAGATCTGCAGACAGCTGCGCAGTTCCATTGGGATTAGCGTTTGGAGAGTCGTGTTTTTGCGGTGTTGGATGTGGCCGTGCCATTGGGATTTGCGTTTCAGGGTGTGGCATCGAAGCTCGGTTTTCGTGACAGGTCTCAGCTGAAATGGCGATTTTGGTGGATGGGAGTGTGCTCAGAACGGGTCAAAATCATTCCAAACGCGTGGTGTGGTGCAAATTTTGTTGAAGCTCACATGAGATGATATTGTCACTTTTCGTGGCAGGCGCAGGACTTTGTGCGGGTTTTGAGGCGTGGAAGTGCTATTCTAGTGGCAGGCGCAGGGAATCGTGAGGTTGCGAGGGGTGACGGAGGTGACATTTCGTGGCAGGCGCAGTACTTTGCACGCGTCGGACGTGTGGACGCGGAAAGATTCGTGGCAGGAGCAGGGAATCGGGAGGTTGTGAGTTGTGGTAGAGGTGAATGTCGCTGTCACATTGGGATTGGCGTGTGAGCGGGCGTCGTTTGGAGGGCTGGAATCGCGAAACTGCTTGGCAGGGCTGCGTGATGTGTGTGCTCCGACGGGTGTTTCCGCTGGACTTTTGGAGGAAGTCTCGTGCGAAACATTCGTTTTGCAGACTTTGACATGTGAGTTTTTGAGGAAGTCTTGTACGAAACGCTCGTTTTGGTGACTGGACATGTGACTTTTGGAGGAAGTCTCGTGCGAAATGCTCGTTTTGGAGACTTGACGTGTGACTTTTGGAGGAAGTCTCGTACGAAACGCTTGTTTTTGAGACTTGACGGGTGACATTTGGAGGAAGTCTCGTACGAAACGCTCGTCTTGCAGCCTCGCAGCGTGACTTTTGGAGGAACCCTACAGGAGTGTCCCACAAGAGTGTCCTACAAGAGTGTCCCACAAGTGTCCTACAAGAGTATCCCACAAGAGCTTCCTACAAGAGTGTCCCACAAGAGTGTCCCGTGTCCCACAAGAGTGTCCCACAAGAGTGTCCCGCAAGAGTGTCCCA